ATATTTTCCTATGATTGTAATTCTTCTTTCATATTATCCTATGTTTCATTTCTTCTTTCTTATATTTTCCAATGATTTAATTTCTTGTCGTTCATTTTCCTGTGGATTTGCATTTCTTCTTTCATTTTCCCCCTTTTCTTTAGTCCATCGTGTATAGTCGTCACGCTTGGTGGTTAACATAAAACAAGGATAGGGGAGAGATGAGAGAGAGGAGAAGAGGAGAGAGAGAGATGAGAGATGAGTGAAAGGAGGAAGAGAGAGAGAGAAGAAGAGAGAGAGAGAGAAGAGAAGAGAGAGATAGAGAGAAGAGAAGACAGACAGGACAGAAGCAGAGAGCAGCGAGAGAGATGAGAGTAAGAGAAAGAAAGAGAGAGAAGAGAGAAGAAGAGAGAGACGAGAGATGAGAGACGAGAGAGAGAGAGAAGAGGAGAGAGAGAGAGAGACGAGAGAGAGGGACGAAAGAGAGAGAGAGAGGATGAGAAACGAGAGGAGGAGGGGAGAACGAGGAGGAGATCTGAGCGAGCGAGGGTGAGAGGGAGAGAGCAGAGAGAAGAGACAGAGAGAGGAGAGAGGAGAGAGGAGAGAGAAGAGGAGAGAGAGAGAGAGGAGAGAAGAGAGAGAGAGATAAAGAGAGAGAGGACTGAGAGTGAGTAGAGAGGAGGAGAGAGAGGAGAGAGAGAGATAGAGAGAGAGACAGAGAGAGAGAGGAGAGAGGGAGAGAGAGAGAGGAAAGAGAGAGAGAGAGAAGAGAGAGAGGAGAGAGAGAGAAAGAGAGAGAGAGAGAGAGAGAGAGAGAGAGAGAGAGAGAGAGAGAGAGAGAGAGAGAGAAAGGATTTTTCAAAGGGTTAATGTCAAGGATTATGGAAGCAAAGGTTAACTAGTCATGTAGGGTACGCAGAAGCCGATTTGATTAGATTTAATCTCCCTCTTTCTTTTTTGCCTCGCTCTTTCCATTTCTCTTTCTCTGTATCTAAATATCTCTATTGTCTATGTCTTGTCATTTGTCTTTCTCGTTTGTGTTGTGTCTGCCTCTCTCTCTCTCTCTCTCTTCTCTCTCTTCTCTCTCCTCTCTCCTCTCTCTCTCTCTCTCTCTCTCTCTCTTCTCTCTCTCTCCTCTCTCAAGTGACAGACGTTATTTTTTCCGCGAGTAAATGTAGGCCTGTGGAGTACAATGGAATATTTAGCACATAACTACCGTAGGCCACACAGAGTGAAATTTAACAATGATGAAATTATTCATAGTGTTTGAATACTAAGACTTCTATGATGAAGATATAGCGAAATATATTCTAAGAGTCACAGTAACTACACTATTTTCCCAATATTTTGCAGATATCTGAAACTGACATCGTATTATCATTATATTCGCTTTGTTCTGATACAAATTATTTTTAAAAAGTAGAAAAAATGAGGAAATATATTTTCATATCCATAATTGCAAGTCTGATCTTTTTATGCATTATTAATATACTTTTAATAAAGTCGTATCATATACTTTGTCGATCGTAGTACATTTTTCCTGGATGACAAATAACACCTATCAGATGCAGTTAGTTACTCTTATTTTCTGTGATTAAATCAACGGTTATTGTTGATAAAAGTTTTGTAATTCCATCTCCAACTGTATGAGTATTTTTACCGATGGTAATATCACATGTCAAAGACAGAAAAAAACATAACTGCTGATGCTTTTAATGATCTTACATGTACATTATAATTGCAAAAAAAGGGTAAATGGCACGTGTAAATGTAAATACCTCTGTTAATGGCACTGTGTAAAAACCTGTCGACAAATTTAACATAAAGTGAGTGGAGTTGAACTGAAATTACAACGCATTATTGAAAATCTGTTTACTGTTGCTATAAGCGTGAAAAATGCTTTATTTCTACCATTGACAAACGGGTGAAAGTTCAGAATGCAATTTTTTAAAGAGAAATATTGCTTGTATAATGCATGGAGTGACAATTGCCAGCTTTTTAAATGTATCAGTTCATATGTTCTTAAAGAAAAATCAGTCTCATACCTGTTATAATAAATGTATTGTCCATCACCAGGACTTTCTTTAAAAAAGGTAATATCACAAGAAAACGGGCTAAGAAACTGATAAAGTGAAATATACAATCTTCTGTTTAATATAAAACATACTCCACATACACGACGATACTGGTAAAGCATAGGAAATATTATAATATCTATTTCGACCTACCACACTGAGATTTGAACGGCATTAGGAATAGTAGTGATTGAACAGATTAAAACAAGAAAAGTATATTGAACAAAAACAAGCTAAGCAATGTCATCTGAATAATATAGTGAGAAATAGAGTAGGTTGTAAAGCATTCTATCATCATACCACTACTTCTAACCTTTGCCTTAAAACAATAAAATAAAAACGATGGACAGAAAGTACATGTTCCTTCGAGACAAACCAAGAAATGACGAAAATGAAACTTCAGTTCTGTAAATTAATGGCATCATCTTTCATCTTCTCCTGACTCCACCCACCACTGACCTCCTGAAAACCAAATACTGAAACGAAAGAAGAAAATCCTTGGAAAGTTGAAGATGCTGAACGGAATCTTTCTGGAGGGTTGCACATTTCATCTTGCTAGTAGGCCTAGTCGCGCGGAGGGGCTTCGTTGTCGACAGTACAGACTTGATCTCCCTTTCGTCTTCGCAGTCTGGAGCCACCTGCTGACGTTTCCTGTGAATACGAAAAACGTTTTATTATGGTATCTATCTCTGTGCCAATGTCATATGGTAGTCAGTAAGGCATGATGTGTTAAAGCTGTTGATGTTACGCACGAAGTACTGTTTTGTAATTTCAAATAATTTCTGTAATTCTAAACTATGTCATTGTATTCCCAGTATTTACTAGGGTTCCAAGCCATCTTTTCCCCTATACACACAACTTGAATGCTACACATATAAAACTATCGAGCAAAGAAATACATTACCTGCGGAAGGTGACCTGCGTTGCCGACTTGGTCCCTGGCGTTTTGTATGTTCTGCGCGATGTACTGTCAAGAAAAATAATTGTTAAGATTTATGAGCAAATTACTGTTTCCAAAGTAAAGCTCAGTTGTTATAAAATTTGCGGTAAAATTACGCTTGAAGTTACCCCTTTGCACATCACAACAGCTATTATTATGTTTTTTTCACACTACTGAATAGTTGCCCGAGGGTAAGATGGAGAACTGCATGGGGTACTTTATAATCAGACAGAACGTACTTTTGTTGTATTATACTGTTTTGTTAGTTCATTAGGAATAGTTTTACTGATGGTTATCTATCACTCCGCGTTTCTTATGTTTTGTTTTTTGTTTATGTATTTGCCTTCTAGCTGTTAACAGACCTTCTTCATTTATTTGCCTGTGAGGCATAGATTGCTCTGTAATTCTGTCTGAATTTACCGCTCGGCTCCCAATCACTTTACAGAGGTATAAAAAGGTATTGGAGTCAAAACACAGCATCATTGCTTCCTGTCAGCTATTCCACGCTCAGTAGACCAAATGTATAGGAGTCCAGAATTCACTTATTCTTAACTTACTCTAAGAGTCAGAGGTCTGAAGTATCGAATCTCTATATTGCAACATTGCATTCAAACATTTCACTCTTAGATAAGATCCATCAACTTGAAAACACACATGATAAACCTATTCAACATCAAACACTTAAAACAACAAGACCCCCAAAAAAGAAAAAAATAAATAGTATCCACACATACTAACCACCGAACAAGCTGAATGGAGTTCTTCCAGCTGGAACTTCACGGCGAGGTCGCTCACTTTAAGAGCGAAAGGAACGCTATCCAGACTAGGAAAACCGCCGTACATGTACTCCAAGACGGCGTAAAATGCTTCAGGGGATTCGTCAGCGAGGATGAGTTCGGAGTTCGAAGCGGTTTCGTTTTGGTCGAAGAGCTGCTCCCTCAACACAGCGGAGTTCATGGCTAAGATGAGTCGGTGAGCCTGCGAGTCGTGGGGAAATAAGTAATGTTTTATGAATGGGAGATTGAGTACAAAATAATGTTTACAAATGGAAGGTTCAGTACAACTGCATTTGAATCATTCGTTAGAAGTGATAATAGTGATCTTTACAACTGTTAAGAATTGTATGATTATGGTAGTGATATTAATGACTCTTATCAAAGATTGTATGGTAATGATGGTGATAATGATGCCTGTTATGACAATGTTCAAGATTGTATACTAATAGTGGTGATAATAATGATTATCATGATAAAATGAATGACCAATAACAATCAACATAAACAAATAAGAAAATAAAAAAAAACGCCATACCCCTCCAAAAAAATATATATATACAAATACACCCAAAGACAAAGACATACACCCCACAACATACCTTCATCTGGACACCCTGTACGTGAACGGTGACGTCCGAACGCCAGCCCGTAGACAGCAGTACCCGGAGCCGCTCGGATACCTTAGGGAGATTCTCGTCCCATGGCAGCTGCTTCGTGGCTCCTCCGGTCTCGCCTGAACGGTTCATGGTAGTTGGTTCGAGGTTCTGTTGAGTGTGAATGAGGTTAGTTATGGTAGAAGAGGGTGGAAGGGAGGGAGGGAGGAGGGTGGGTTTTTTTTTTTGTTTTTATCGTTGATTTAACCACATGTCCAGCTACATTGGTGTGTGTGTGTGTGTGTGTGTGTGTGTGTGTGTGTGTGTGTGTGTGTGTGTGTGTGTGTGTGTGTGTGTGTGTGTGTGTGTGTGTGTGTGTGTGTGTGTGTGTGTGCTGCTTAACCCAAGACTATCGCACCGTTTTGCTAAACCTATTTCTATCCCTCAAGGGACGAGAAAGCTTGACACATTCCTCTAAAAAGTGACAATTTCTTTATGATACCAAAACCAGGCAAACCAGCAATGCACTACAAACTATTATCTACATCTCTACACCTCTTCCTTTCTTAATTTTCTCCGCGTTTCTACACATACAAGAGCGTATTACAGACTCCGCAAAGTGTGTTTATTTTAGCCCTCAACAGGGGACAAGTAAGCCCCGTTAACAAGCACATGTAACAGACAAAAAAGAGTGTGTCATCGTACCTTTCACAAAATATTGATTCAAAAAGATTCACGTGTCGCTTTAATTATAATTTATATGGTGCGATTAAGTTAATAATGCTATTCTGATTCAAAGAAAGCCGGTTTAGTGCAATTCAAAATATATTTACAGCGTATCATGTGGATTACGTTCTTCTTCATTGTTATACTACGAAACAATGGAGAGAAACGGGAGGAGGAGAGAGAGAGAGAGAAGAAGGATTTAGGAGGAGAGAGAGAGAGAAAGGAAGGGATTTAGGGGAGGGAGAGAGAGAGAGAAGGAAGGGATTTAGGGGGAGGGAGAGGGAGAGAAGGGCAGTAGGAGAGATAAGTAAACAGTGAGAAGGGGAGGAGAGAGAAGAGAAATGAGGAGAGGGAAAGGGAGAAAGACAGAGAGAGATGGGGGGGGGGAGGGAGGAGAAAAGAGAATAGGGGAAAGGGGGAGAAGGAGGAGAGAGGGAGAGAGAGAGAGAGAGAGAGAGATCTATTCGTCATATCGACGAAAAATGGATGAAATTGCATCCTAAGCAATAGTTCATTCAAATTGCAAATATAGGCCTATTTATTTTCTTCTTTTTTTATATGAAGCCATTTCCTTTACTTACGCCTTCCGCATTTTAGTTGATTAAGTATCATTCCGTTCACATAATTTGTCTTACATGTGATATCTAAATGAAGACTGGAGACTTATTAACGACATAAACGATATAAGAAAAAATAATTTTTGAAAGGTTGTGAAATGATGAGAAACTATATAACGCACCGTTTTTTAAATAATAAAACTACTAAATCAAATTACTATATGTAGAATAAGCCTCTCTAAGCA